CTACAGACCTGCAGGGCGGCGCCTCCTGCTGGTTGCTGTCCAGGTCCAGAGCCGACGTCCGTTCTGTTTTGTGAACTGTGCCGACTGACTCCATTTGGTCTCGTCTTGTGCGTTCCAGTTCGTGGACATCGGCGTGGTCACCAGCATCGAGGTGAATCACAAGTCGGTCGAGTCGGCCAAGAAGGGCCAAGAGATCTGCGTGAAGATCGAGCCGATCCCGGGAGAGTCGCCCAAGATGTACGGCCGACACTTCGAGGCCACCGACATCATCGTCAGCAAGGTGACCGTGCAAAAGAGGGCGGAGCTTCAACCCCTCTGAAACCTGTTTACTCTCCCTGTGGGGTCATCATCTCGTTGTCTTGTTGTTGTTGTTGTTTGTCTCTTTTTCTGTGTGTTCACTGTGTTGATTAGACTGACCTTTATCACCACAAACAGGGAACCTCTGTAGTATTTTATGGGGCCTCAGTCTGGTCCTTGTGTGTCTCATCTTTTGTCTCCGTCTAGTTTTGTGCTGCAGAAAACAACAGACGTGTTCAAACTCTGGTCTGAACCTGAATGAGTCCAGATGAGTTGTTTGACGGGTTTTTCGTGACGTCGACTTTAATCCGTTTGGTTTTTGCTGTTCAGAGTGATTTTAAATGCTGATGCTCATTTTCCTCCGTTTTGGAGCCAAACAGCTGATCGATGAGTCCAGCAGTGACAGGACTCATCGGCTCTGATTGGTGTTATTCAGTCGACGCTAACGAGGTGTGCGTTTGGTTTCAGATCACGCGAGCCTCCATCGACGCTCTGAAGAACTGGTTCAGGGACGAGATGCAGAAGTCGGACTGGCAGCTGATCATGGAGCTGAAGAAGACCTTCGAGATCATCTGAGGGAACTCACACAAACATGCAAAAACACACTCACACACTTCCTCCATCGGCTGATGAGGCGGCGGCGGCGGCGGCGGAGGGACAAAAAATAAAGAAAAAAAACTGAGAAAAGACGTGAAAGTGTTTTTCTGTGAGAAACGAACACTTTTTCACTGTGCTCAGCAGTGACGGTCGCATTTCACACTCAGTATTCCAACGTGCCTGTTCTTCAGCATCAACGTTGTTTCGATTATTTTTTCTTCTTCTTGTTCTTCGCTCTGATTTGTGGCTGCTGCTTCCTGTCCCAGGCTCCGCCCACTTCCTCCCCAGACTGAAGCGAGGCCGACTCGCTGGCCAGCAGGTGCATTGTGGGATTGTGCCGAGCAGCGCCGCGCCTCCAGGATTTTCTCTTTCACAGCGAAGGCGGCGTCAACTTTGCGGACTTTGACGATTTGACTTTCACGTTGCTTTGCGGTTCGGCGGCCATGTTGGAAGGTGGGCGGCGTGCGGGGGAGGGAGGGGAGGTGAATGATGGAGAAGATTTTAAACTGTTTTTGCTGCAAGTGCTGATGTAATAAATTCCCATGATTCTGATGAAATGAGCAGATTGAGAGTTTTCAGTGAAGAGTTGGATTATGTACGGAAGCCCCCAGCTGCCAAAATGTTAAACTAAACTGAAAATACCAAAGACGTGTTTCAACTGTCAAAATGATCAGAGAAGGCATCGCATTCTAGTTACAAATCTTTGGAATTAACTTTGACGTGAAAGTGTCACAGATTGGCCACGCCCACAATCCAGCCATTTTGATTTTGATTTAAGGCATGTTTTTCACTTCCTGTTCTCTGTATCGTTCACCAAATTTGGTTGATACGTTCGTTTTTTAGGATCTTAATGACTTGAGTCAGTTTGGTGATATAACATGTCCATCTTTTTTTTTTTTAACCATTTTAAGTCATAAATTATGTAGTTTTATGGCAGTCCATTGCTGCCAAAATACAAACATGACAATGTTTTAAAATTGTTTTTTAAGAAACTTAAAAAAAAGCTTCATCTTAAAATGACCCGTTACACTGAGTATGAATATCATGTAAAATGCTTGAAATTAGCTTCAACACTAAATTTTCAGAGATTGGCCACGCCCATATTTCTGCCATTTTGGATTTATTTTAAAATACATTTTTACCTAATATGTGTGTCTTTTTTTATCCACCAAATTGGGCTCATAGTGTATTTGGAGGACCTCGGAAATTACCGTAAAGTCACTCATAGCATGTTTTTGATTTTTTAGATTTAAAGTGATAATCAAGTATGTAGTGTTACGGAAGTCCATCGCGGCCAAAATTTAAAAATATAACTCGATTTAAGAAACAAAATGTAAAATTGTAAACAATTGCTTTTACTCTGAAATTACCAGTAAACGTGCGCATAATGTTTCTAATTTAAATAATTGGACATAAGTTTAACATGAAATGGCGACGCCCACATTTTTCGCCATTTAAATTTGTTTTAAAACGTCGTCTCACGTCCTCCGTCACAGAATTGTGTTCAAACGCTGTGTTTTAGGAAATGACTGCAAAGCAAAACATTTAAACTCCATTTACAACTTTTGTCGTACGTGATGTGATCGCTGCGTAAATAGAATCTCACGTTTTACATTTTGCGAGTGTTAAAACTGATCTGGTGTCAGGTTCTAGCAGAACCCAGATGTGTTCTTCCTCCTAAATGTCATGTGTCTATCTGCTGTACTGATGAAGTTCTGAGGCTCAGAAATGATGGAAAAGGTCCATTAAGGTGATCAATGTGGACCCTCCTCTGTGGACTTCAAGGACCTGGAGCTCAGCTGGTTGATTCACTGAATCAGGTTAAAGCTTATTAAAAACAGAACTTTTGCTTTTAGAACTGAACTAGAACAGACCTTCAAACTTACTGAAGTTTGTTTTGCTGCAGATAACTATAAGAACAGTGTGGGGCTGGTCGGGGTTCGGAGATTGATATCCCGACACCAACACAGCCAACGAATCATCGGCTATTCTGGCTCAGCCCTAGAAAAGTGCAGCTTTGCTTCCTTTGCTGTTTCAGTTCTATTAAAACTAACTTGAAACTGAGAGAACGAACGTTGGAGCGACACAAATCAGACAAAAATGGAAAATGTTGGACACGTTGATTCAAGGTTTTAGTTTCGTTTGAGTTTGTGTCGTTCATCGTCCCGCTGTGGTGGTTTGTTCTCGTCTTTGTAATTTTTTCTCAATTTTAGCTTTTTTTTTTGTTCATGTCTCTTTGAATCTCGTTTTGGTAATTTTTTCGTTTTTGTCTGTTTTATTTTTTCTCATTTTGTGTCAATTTGTCTTGTTTTTGTCATTTTTTTGTCGTTTTTCTCATGTTGTGTAAGTTTATTCTTGTTTCTGTCGTTTTGTGTCTCGTATTTCTTCATTTTGTCAACAGCCGAGTCTTCCTCCTGTGATTTAGTGTCGTTTTTTTCAATGTCTTGTGTCTTGTTCGAGTCGTTTCGTGTCTCTTTGAGTCTATGACAGATCTCGGAAAAAAGCACAAACAAAAGTTGAGGTTCTTTGGTTATTTATTTTACAAAAGCTACATCAACATGTCCAACATGTTTCCATAGATGCTCTTCAGACGAAAAGTTTCTGGAAGCTACATGGTGTCATTTAAAGAAATACTTTTTTTTTTCTTTTTTTTTTCAAACCTGCCAGTGAATTTTGGGGTTCGGACAGTTAATCCATCTATTTGCTTTATTTTTTTAATGCTTTCGGGGGTTCCTCAACGCTCCCTGATGGTGCATTCAGGAACCCTCCAACACCTGAGACGTTAGTTTACAGATGAACACAGATTGTAACTTATCAAACGGAATAATGGAAAGAAAACCAGTACAAACCAGTTCCTATAAGTCAACATATGGTGAGAATGGCTGCTGCCGTCTTACGTTATATTTACAATATCAGTAGCGACAGGTAGAACCGAAGTCCTGCTTGTAAACCATTACGTCTCATTTCAGTCAAACATGAACAACCGATTTTAGTCAACAGAACCCGCCAGAATGTTCTGTGTCAGCTATTCAACTGCAGGAAACTGAATTTTAGCCAAGATTAGAGAACAATCTCTGGTTTCTGCAGCCTCAGGACGTCATAAAAGCAACTTTCTCTTGAAGTTTTTCAGGATTTATCCGCCTGGCTGAGGTTTCAAATACAGTCTTGAAATCTGTGCAATTGTTCCTTAAAAGTGCTTTAAAAACGAAATGTTATGTTATCGTTTAAAAACCTAAACAAAATGGACTCCATCACAGAATCGGCACAATGGAATAAATAATTAATCTCGTCGTCAAACAGCAGCCGGGATGAAGAGTCCGTGGAGGTCCATGTGGACGCTGGCAGGGATGGAGGCTCGAGCGATTTCCTCAAAGGTTTTGGCATTGAGGACGAGCATAAACGGAGAAACGTTAGGATCTGGAGAGATGACTGATGATAGGATGACTCCTGGAGGAAGGGAAAAACAAACCGTTAGAACCAGAGGAGGAGTCAGATGCTTTCCTTCGGGAGGTTTTGGAGGCGACGGACTCACCGTCGTCTTCCTCTACGGCGCCCGGAGATGCAACGAACACCGGCTCTGAAGGGAAACAGTTGTCCTTCTTCCACTCAGTGTGTGTCCTGGTGACGATGTCAAACTTGGCAATCTGTTGGATGGGAGAATGGTAAGTTATGAACAGTTGTCGGTTTGTCTGATCCTGACTAAAATATCCCCAACAACTCCTGGATGATTATCGAGTCGTTTTGTTGAGATGTTCGTGTTGGTTGCACGGTCTCTAACGATGTCTCATTGTCTTTGAAACTCCAAATTTTGTTCTTGGTGAAAACCTTCTTGGCAAATGCTTGACTTCGTGCTGCACCAGTCCAAGAATTTCACCGAGTTCAAGAAGTTCAGAAAGGAAACCTTCACAAATACTCCTATTCCATTCGTCCTACCAGCAGTATCTCGATGGCGCGGCTTGAATACTCTAGTTTTTTTCAGCGTTAACACTTCGGGCCAAGAGGTAAGAGCTTTGAGGTCCGACAGCTGATCCAACAACAAACTTTATGACTTCAGCAACTTTAAGATACACTGTTGGAAGTGGAATTAGTGTGAATGCTAGCACCACACTTGCCCTCTAATCGATCCTTGGTAAAGGATTTAAAGTGTTTACAGGACGAAAGAGTCGAAAGAGTCCTGTATTTTGATTTCATATCATCGGGGCTCCTGCTGCTTTCTTTAGATGTGGTAACCATTTCTGAGCCTTTTCACTTCTACTGAATTGAAATGTGGTTCCTTGTTTACCATGGGAGGTGTAGAAAGTAATGGCAAAACTTGATAGGACGGCAATCTGCTAGAGGTTGTCTAGAGTCTTGGATTGACTTTGGCCTGATCAATGTACACACCCCTGAAGGTCCTATATGGATTTTTGCAACTATTGGTGCCAACCAATGGCAGAATCACCTGGCAGTCAGTGGTACTGATCTTCAGCAGGGCTTAACGCTTCCAGCTAACCAACTATGTAACCACTTGCTGGCCCCACACCTCCTACCTGGACTAAGACTACCAAATTACACTTTAGTCCATCCAGTGTTGAAACATTTTGAGAAACTTCACCTTGTTGGGATGTGGAGACCACTCCACCCTGGAGCCGTAGAAGTATCTGTACTTCCTTGCGTTGAAGTTATAGTTGATCCCTGGCAGCTCCAGACCTGAGGAGAAACCATACCTGTTAGATCGGGTGGATTAGACAGAATGTAGTATAAGACATCGTGGATAACAAACCTTCAAACAGGATGTCTGGCTGGCAGTGGATCGATCCGTTCTCCTGCATCACTGCCTGGGCCGAAGTGTCCTTCAGAGTCACCAGGTTGGTTCCTCTTGGAGACTCCTAGAGAACGGACACATAAGAGTCATCCCCTGATGAAGTGCAAAATAAATGACGTGAGTTAATTTTTCAGTCGAATCGTACCTTGTGGACGTTGAGTGGTAGTACAAATCTCTGGCAGGTCGGCTTTGAAAAGCTCTTGTTGGTCTCGATGAAGCTGTCAGTTTCTTGTTTCATGTTGTGGAGGTAGAACATGTCGTACAGATTGCTGTCCTTGTAGCTGATCAGGTCGAACACAACGTGGCCGTCGTCCTCGTAGGCGTTAATGTGGTGGAAAACCACCATGGCGTCACCATAGAAACGGGTGGAGATAGCCTTTCCCGTCTTTCTGTTGATGACGTGAAACAAGGTCTGGGGAGGTGAAAGCAGTTCGGTTGAATTTTTTGGCCTCATGACATTGGTACTATGGGCAAGCTGTGTCAGGAATAAGTTTAAAAAAAATGTCAGATGGCCTGTGGTGAACATAGTGGAACATTTAGGAACCAAAGAACCAAATATTTCTGAAGCAGATCTTCTCCTGTACATATTCCTTTGTCTGCTCAAGGGACTGTGGTAGATCTGTTCTACATGCATGGCACCTTGAGAAGATGTTTATGTGGGGATCAGGGTAGATCACGACAACCAAAACCAAAGTTAAAATATAAAGGACCAAGAATAGGACACAGAGGAACCATGCAATTAGTTCTTGTCCCTGTTGATGTTAAAAATTGCCTTGATTAGGGTTAGGGTTACAAAGTCACTCGGTTGCATGAACTACTGCTACTGCTGGAAGTGATAGTAGATCTGAAAGACCGAGGCCTTACGATGTCGTCCTTGTCGAACTTCAGGCAGCTCCCCCAGTTAACGCCTCTGAAATAGGCAGTGGCCAGCTTGACGATGTCCAGTTTGAAGGGCTGTTCCACGAACACGATGTGGTTCTCCGTCATGCCAAAGCTGTGGAAGTAGGCCGGGAACAGCGTGGAGCGAAAAGGAATTGAACAGATCTGCTGCGCTTTCCTCAGCGCTGGCTTTTTGTGTTCTTTATCTGAAACAGAAGACTCGGTATTATTATAATTCTCTGTCGTTCAGTTAGCTGGTCGTACCTCCTCTTTAGCAGTAGATGTCACAGAGTTCAAATGTGGTTACTCGAGAAACATCTGAACAATGTTAAAATGAGGAACAAAACAAAATGCAGGAAACTTTCTGTCAATTTTTGTTTTTTGTGCCACTGATATTATTTTGCAGTTTTAGTTTTAGACTTAGGTTCTCTTTAACTTTACTCCACGTTTTTTCTCTTGTAGATGGCTGCATTTTTGTTTGTTTCATCTTCTTTGAGGTTTTTTAAGTGTTTGGCAAATTTCCGTTGAGTTCCTCTGAAACATGCCTTAACATGAACCTCAAATCTTTGAGGACAAAGCAGATTACTGCTGTACCTGAAGCATCTGCTGGGACTTTGAAGATAACGTATTTCGGCCGACCGAAGCCCATGATAGCGGTGCCCATGTTGTAGGTGTTGCCCTCTTTGTCGTAGTGGGGGTGAGCTGTCGCTAAGTTCAGTGCGATGTGGTTCCTGTAGTTCATCTGGAATGTCGCAGAAATGTTTTGTAGGAAGACTTGAAGAATTTTGAGGAACTTTAAAGGAGCAGGTAAAACCGAACCCACCTTGCTGACAGTTTCCAGGGTTTCGGGGTCAATCTGATTTATGTAGTTGACCTCGGAGGAGGCGTAGTAGTCCTGACCGTAACGAATGATGTTGATCAAGTTGTTGTCGGTGAAGTCGGGGATGACATTGGACAGGTGGGTGAATGCCCTGGTGAGAAAGGAAGAAAGGTTTTTGAGCATACACCCTAAATTATTCTCAGTGCATCCTGGAAAGAACAGATCTCAAGGTGTCCTGGATCAACATAAGTAGATCTTTATGGCTCCTGGATGGACCAGAACATACATCATTGCCTCCTGAGTGGACTGAAACTGATGTAATGTGTTATAGATGGACCGAAACAGATCTTTTCCTGTCCTGTATGAGACTAAAGCATATTTCCGTGTATCCCTTTGCATCTTGAATCGACTAAAGTTGAACTCAAGGTGTTCGAGATGGACTAAAAGAGACTCGAGTCTTGGACAGACTGTTTCAGGTGAAGCTGTTTTCAAGTCGTGGACTGAGATGAAAGCAATAAAAATATCTTGAATAGACAGAACCAGATCTCTGTGTGGCTTGGTCAGACTAAAATAGATCCGAAGGTGCTTTGGACGGACTTGACAGATCTCTAAGAGTTTTGTCCTCGTACACATTCCTTTGTTTTTTTAAAGGGACTGTGGTAAATCTGTGCTTATTCTATATGTACTCCACCTTGAGAAGATGTTTTTGCAGGGATCGGGGTAGATCATGGTTCCAAACTCGGAGACGACGATCCGGTCGGCCTTGACATTCTTCTTGTAGGTGTCGCTCTTCAGAAACTTACTTCTGTAAGTCACCTCACCTGAAACAACAACGTCACAACTGTTAGCAACGCCAGATACCAAATCTCACAACAGTAGCCGTTTGTTCTCTACCCTAGCATTTTTGATAATTAATATAGATTTTGTTACGTGCTCTAATATTTATCTTGACAGCTGCTGACCATTGCTGAAGGTGAAACTGTGGATAAGCGACAAGCCGTCAAACCAGTGGTTGTACTGGGAGTCGCCCACTGAGAAAAGGCCGGGTCCATTCCTCAGCAAAGTGCCCTGCAACCAGGAAGGGATGGATCCTGCAGGTCCAAGGTAACACAAGGTCATTCTGAGGGAAGACAGATTCATTTGTACAGCACATTTCATTCATTCATTCATTCATTCATTCATTCATTCATTCATTCATTCCATCCTGATTGTGGTAGAGGCCTTATTTACATTGTAGCCCAGTAAGAAGATGAGATGATGTACAGGGTGGGAAAAAAAAAAACAAACAAACAGTAAAAGCCCCATAAATTAATAAAATGCAGCATCTATCACACTTCACAGACAGGAAGAACCACCCAGCCTCAGCTGCAAGGCCATTACTGTGAGCTGTATGTTGTCACCAGTAATAAATCTTAATGAACGATAAACATCGTCCAAAGGCTTAAGAATTACCGCTGATGAGTGCAGGCATAAAATGTCAACTTGACCCAGAACTGATTAGAAGAACTAAACAAAAAAACGTTGCTTCATCAAGTATTTCCCTACAGTGACGAGGGAAACATTTGTTCTTGTACAAGAAACATTTTTTTCTGGAGGAATTTTAGTCATCGTAGCCTACTGCCAAAAAGTCNTGTTGCTGTTGCTCGTTGCTGCTCTATTGCTGTTGCTGTTGCCTAACCTGAGCTGTCTGTGCAGTTCGACAGAGAAACCCTGAGGATCCCCGGCATGCTGATCATCGACACACCTGGACACGAGTCCTTCAGGTACCCACATAGAATTACCCTCAATAGAGTCCAGATAATTATTAATAACGATTAGACTGAACCACAAACTCCAGAATGATGGACACTACAGGTTCCAGATGTTCCCTAAACGCCTCGTGTGACTCATAGACGACATCTAGTCTTTGACACTGATGAAGCTCAGAGGCTCTGACGTTTGGGCCTTCAGCTGTAAAATGCTTGAAGGCAAAACGTGGTTTCGTTAAATGAAGTCGGTGCAGATGAAGAACCTGACGGAGGCTTTGTGTCTGCAGCAACCTGAGGAACAGAGGAAGCTCTCTGTGCGACATCGCCATCCTGGTGGTGGACATCATGCACGGCCTGGAGCCGCAAACACTCGAGTCCATCAACCTGCTGAAGGAGAAGAAATGTCCGTTCATCGTCGCCCTCAACAAGGTCAGCAGACTTCTTCTTCCTCCTCCTGCTCCTCCTCCTTCTATTTCTGACATCCTGTCGTCCTCTGCAGATCGATCGTCTGTACGACTGGAAGAAGAGTCCCGACACCGACGTCGTGGCGACGCTGAAGAAGCAGAAGAAGAACACAAAGGACGAGTTCGATGAGCGAGCCAAGGCCGTCATCGTGGAGTTCGCTCAGCAGGTATCCGCCATGACATCATCAGCTGTCAGCCAATCGCAGCGCAGCCACGGCAGCCGTGAATGAAACGACAGTTTTGTGTCTTTCTGGTCTTTCTGTCTCTGATTCTGGTCATAAGCTGTAGAACATTAGTACAACATGAATAGAACATGAGTAGAACATTTGCTTGTTTCTTTTGTGACACTCAAACTGCTCCTCCAGGTTTTCATTTGTTTTCCACAGTGTCTCTTCACCATCTTAAAGCGTTATTTTAGATTTACTGTTTTACATCAGTGGTCCCAGTGTCGAGCCTTGAGGAACACCAAACCTTCTGCACCTTTAGAAGCACTGAGCACCTGTGTTGTTCCCCCTCAGGGTCTTAACGCCGCCTTGTTCTACGAGAACAAAGACCCCCGGACCTTTGTGTCATTGGTTCCTACCTCAGCCCACAGTGGCGACGGGATGGGAAACCTCATTGCCCTGCTGGTCGAGCTCACCCAGACGATGTTAGCTCGCCGGCTAGCGCACTGCGACGAGCTACGAGCTCAGGTGATGGAGGTGAAGGCCCTGCCCGGGATGGGAACCACGATAGACGTGATCCTGATCAACGGCCGCCTGCGGGAGGGCGAAACCATCATCGTCCCGGGCGTGGAGGGACCAATTGTGACGCAGATCAGAGGATTGCTGCTGCCGCCGCCGCTCAAGGAGCTCCGAGTCAAGGTACACCTTTCAAAATAAAATGCCTCCTGGTTTCAACAACCAAGAAGCAACTTAGTGTCTGATTCGAGCCCAGAAAGGGTTTTTAACATTGTCTTGTTTGTCTTTTGGGGCATTTTAATAGAGTTTGAACCAAAAACTGTTGAACCCTCAAACTTCTCCATCAGTTGTGTTTATATAATGTGGCTAATGTAGTTGTAGCAGCTTAAGGTAACTCCGTCACAACAAAAGCTTCAGAACAGGGATGGAAGGCACCACAAAGAAATAAAAAATCTGTCGTTTGCAAATTTTAGCTCTTTCTGGTTGTTCCTCCAGCGTCTAATTGAAACAACAGTTTATGTGTAGGGAAGGTAAAACGGATGCGACGTTCTGCATCTTGAGCTGCTTGGTGTCGGTGTGGACACGCTGCTTTTTCTTCATATGGACGTTGTTGCTCACAACTTGAGGATCATCCTGAATCCTGAGTTTTGTCATGAACACGTGCAGCGATGAGGCCCGTACTGGTTTACTTACTGGTCCGTCTGGTGGTTTTGTAGAGCCAGTACGAGAAGCACAAGGAGGTGTCGACGTCTCAGGGTGTGAAGATTCTGGGCAAAGACCTGGAGAAGACGCTGGCGGGGCTCCCCCTGCTGGTGGCCCACAGGGACGACGAGGTCCCCGTCCTCAGGGTAAGCGACCAGTTAGACCAGTCTGAAAGGTGGAGTCAGGTGTTGTGCTGTGGTACTGGTGCTGACGGACCTGCTGGGTTTCAGGACGAACTGGTGCGAGAGCTCAAGCAGACGCTGAGCTCCATCAAGCTGGAGGAGAAGGGAGTCTACGTCCAGGCGTCAACGCTGGGGTCACTGGAGGCGCTGCTGGAGTTCCTGAGGACGTCCAAAGTACCTGTAAGTACCTGTCTGTCTGCTCACCTGTCTGCTGGTTTACATGTTTACCTGTTTACTCACCTGTCTGTTTACCTGTTCACCTGGTCACTCACCTGTGTGGTTACCTGTTTACTCACCTGTCTGTTTACCTGTTCACCTGGTCACTCACCTGTGTGGTTACCTGTTTACTCACCTGTCTGGTTGCCTGTTTACTCACCTGTCTGGTTGCCTGTTTACTCACCTGTCTGGTTACCTGGTCACTCACCTGTCTGTTTACCTGTTCACTCACCTGTCTGTTTACCTGTTTACTCACCTGTCTGGTTACCTGTTTACTCGCCTGTGTGGTTACCTGGTTACTCACCTGTCTGTTTACCTGTTTACCTGGTCACTCACCTGTCTGTTTACCTGTTTACTCACCTGTCTGGTTACCTGTTTACTCACCTGTGTGGTTACCTGGTTACTCACCTGTCTGGTTACCTGTTTACCTGGTCACTCACCTGTCTGTTTACCTGTTCACTCACCTGTCTGTTTACCTGTTTACCTGTTTACTCACCTGTCTGGTTACCTGTGTGTCTCTGCAGTACGCTGGTATCAACATCGGTCCGGTTCACAAGAAGGACGTGATGAAGGCGTCGACCATGTTGGAACACGACCCGCAGTACGTCACCCAGACACAGTCGCGTAGGAACTAGAACTAGGAAGAAGTTAACGAGTTACTTTCACAATAAAACTCCAGACAGGGTGAGATCTGCTGAAGTCACAGCAGAGCGGTTTTCTGGCTGCGTGAGACTGACAGGTGTTTTTGGCGGCAGGTACGCCGTGATCCTGGCGTTCGACGTGAAGGTGGAGCGGGAGAGTCAGGAGATGGCCGACAGTCTGGGAGTTCGCATCTTCTCGGCTGAGATCATCTACCACCTGTTCGACGCCTTCACCAAGTACAGGGAGGACTACAAGAAGGCCAAGCAGGACGAGTTCAAGTAGGAACCTTCATCTGCCTGAAAGACCACAAACAAGCTGTAAAACTTCATGTTCCACCCTGGTGTTGGTCTTCACATATCTAGCAGTTTTATCTCCAACATACAGAGATGTGATGTAGGTTGATGAAGGTTTCAGTCATTTCATAGCAGAACTAGAGCATGAAGATCTTCTCTGGTCGGATCCTGTTGGAGAACTGCCAACAAACTTTATTTCTCCTCGTGTTTCTGTCTGCGCAGCGTGAACCGGTATGGGAAGTTGTGTATTTACGGTTTCTGTCCATGTTGTCAGGCACATCGCGGTGTTCCCGGCGAAGCTGCGAGTCCTTCCTCAGTTCATCTTCAACTCCAGAGATCCCATCGTCATGGGCGTCACCGTGGAGGCCGGCGTCATCAAGCAGGGCACGCCGCTCTGCGTCCCCAGCAAAGGGGTGAGCCAATCAGAGTCCAGCAGCAGAGAACACCTGCACAGCAACGAGCAGGAGGCGCCGCCCTGCAGCTACAGACCTGTAACTACAGACCGGCAGCTACAGACCTGCAGCTACAGACCTACAGCTACAGACCTGTAACTGCAGACCTGCAGCAGCTACAGACGTGCAGCTACAGACCTGTAACTACAGACCTGCAGCTACAGACCTGCAGCTACAGACCTACAGCTACAGACCTACAGCTACAGACCTATAACTACAGACCTACAGCTACAGACCTGCAGCTACAGACCTGTAACTGCAGACCTGCAGCAGCTACAGACCTGTAACTGCAGACCTGCAGCAGCTACAGACGTGCAGCTACAGACCTGTAACTACAGACCTGTAACTACAGACCTACAGCTACAGACCTGCAGCAGCTACAGACCTGTAGCGACAGACCCGTAACTACAGACCTGCAGGGCGGCGCCTCCTGCTGGTTGCTGTCCAGGTCCAGAGCCGACGTCCGTTCTGTTTTGTGAACTGTGCCGACTGACTCCATTTGGTCTCGTCTTGTGCGTTCCAGTTCGTGGACATCGGCGTGGTCACCAGCATCGAGGTGAATCACAAGTCGGTCGAGTCGGCCAAGAAGGGCCAAGAGATCTGCGTGAAGATCGAGCCGATCCCGGGAGAGTCGCCCAAGATGTACGGCCGACACTTTGAGGCCACCGACATCATCGTCAGCAAGGTGACCGCGCAAAAGAGGGCGGAGCTTCAACCCCTCTGAAACCTGTTTACTCTCCCTGTGGGGTCATCATCTCGTTGTCTTGTTGTTGTTGTTGTTTGTCTCTTTTTCTGTGTGTTCACTGTGTTGATTAGACTGACCTTTATCACCACAAACAGGGAACCTCTGTAGTATTTTATGGGGCCTCAGTCTGGTCCTTGTGTGTCTCATCTTTTGTCTCCGTCTAGTTTTGTGCTGCAGAAAACAACAGACGTGTTCAAACTCTGGTCTGAACCTGAATGAGTCCAGATGAGTTGTTTGACGGGTTTTTCGTGACGTCGACTTTAATCCGTTTGGTTTTTGCTGTTCAGAGTGATTTTAAATGCTGATGCTCATTTTCCTCCGTTTTGGAGCCAAACAGCTGATCGATGAGTCCAGCAGTGACAGGACTCATCGGCTCTGATTGGTGTTATTCAGTCGACGCTAACGAGGTGTGCGTTTGGTTTCAGATCACGCGAGCCTCCATCGACGCTCTGAAGAACTGGTTCAGGGACGAGATGCAGAAGTCGGACTGGCAGCTGATCATGGAGCTGAAGAAGACCTTCGAGATCATCTGAGGGAACTCACACAAACATGCAAAAACACACTCACACACTTCCTCCATCGGCTGATGAGGCGGCGGCGGCGGCGGCGGAGGGACAAAAAATAAAGAAAAAAAACTGAGAAAAGACGTGAAAGTGTTTTTCTGTGAGAAACGAACACTTTTTCACTGTGCTCAGCAGTGACGGTCGCATTTCACACTCAGTATTCCAACGTGCCTGTTCTTCAGCATCAACGTTGTTTCGATTATTTTTTCTTCTTCTTGTTCTTCGCTCTGATTTGTGGCTGCTGCTTCCTGTCCCAGGCTCCGCCCACTTCCTCCCCAGACTGAAGCGAGGCCGACTCGCTGGCCAGCAGGTGCATTGTGGGATTGTGCCGAGCAGCGCCGCGCCTCCAGGATTTTCTCTTTCACAGCGAAGGCGGCGTCAACTTTGCGGACTTTGACGATTTGACTTTCACGTTGCTTTGCGGTTCGGCGGCCATGTTGGAAGGTGGGCGGCGTGCGGGGGAGGGAGGGGAGGTGAATGATGGAGAAGATTTTAAACTGTTTTTGCTGCAAGTGCTGATGTAATAAATTCCCATGATTCTGATGAAATGAGCAGATTGAGAGTTTTCAGTGAAGAGTTGGATTATGTACGGAAGCCCCCAGCTGCCAAAATGTTAAACTAAACTGAAAATACCAAAGACGTGTTTCAACTGTCAAAATGATCAGAGAAGGCATCGCATTCTAGTTACAAATCTTTGGAATTAACTTTGACGTGAAAGTGTCACAGATTGGCCACGCCCACAATCCAGCCATTTTGATTTTGATTTAAGGCATGTTTTTCACTTCCTGTTCTCTGTATCGTTCACCAAATTTGGTTGATACGTTCGTTTTTTAGGATCTTAATGACTTGAGTCAGTTTGGTGATATAACATGTCCATCTTTTTTTTTTTTNCCGTGCTTCATCATGATGATGGTCGTTCAAAGTTGTGTCCTCCTCAGAACAGGGTCAGTCTGAGCCATCTCAGACGGGAGTGTTATTTGGGACCCAAAATTAATTTCTTCAAAAATATTTTGACTTTGAATTTGAAATTTTCATGTTTTTGGACCTGGTAAGGTCTAATACCTGTGAAGCCATTTTAAGGTTCAGTATCTCTGGAAATGTAACTCCTCATATAATATAATCCTAAACTTCAGTGAGGACACAGAGGAGGGAAGAAACCAGAACATATTCACACTGAAGAAGCTGCAGTTGCAGAACGATTATATTTAAACTAATCGATGAGCCTCCACCCGTCCATCTACCCCGACCTCCTCCCGAGGTTCAGATGCAGAACAGCTGGTGTGTGTTGGTTAAACTAGTTTCTAAGCATCAGAAAATGATGAAAAATGTCCCAAAAGTTTCCAATTACTGTCAAGAAACCAGAAAATATTCACATTTATGAAGCTGCAGTCCCAGAATTTAGGCGTTTTAATTGATGTTTCTGTGACAGTAACGGTGAAACCATCAGGACCAATCAGCTCGCTGAGGTTTTACCGTCTCTGACTCACCTTTCACTTGAGCTTTCACCGGCTCTGGAGTCTCACTCCCATTTCTAGCGATGATCGACTGCATGTTCTCGCCCTGACGTTGGTATATTTCCCACAGTGCACTGCTCCCGCTGGTTCCGTCCACCGACTGAGCTCCGCCGCCGCCCGGCCGGCCGGCTTTATCTGTCCGCAGGTTGCATAAGAGCTGCTGTGGACTTCACTCAGCCTTTCACAATAAAACGCAGCATTCACGTCTTTGAGCGTTAAACTCTCACAGTCCAGCAAACTGGGACCAAACACACACGATTCATACAACTGAGTAGAAACGAAGAACTGCAGGTTCATGTTCCTACATAAAGTCCTGCAGCTCTGAGGAACCAGAACCGCATGAAGCAGGAGACAGAACTGAGAGACGTCTTCTGTCAGCAGGACTCAGTCAGAACCATGGAAGCATGCTGACTGCAGGCTTTAGTCTCGTCTTTGTCACCGTTTGTCGTCCGTCCGTTTTGTCCTTTTCGTCTCTTGGTTTTTCATATCGTGTCTCACTTTTGTCATTTTGTGGTAATTAAAAAAAAATAAATTAAAAAAGTTATTTTATGTGCAATTTTCACTTATTTGAAATAAAATAATTTAATTTAATTTAATAAGTTTCTCGTCTTAATGTGTTGAAATTCTGCTTTTGTGTCTCTTGTGAGACTTTTTTTTTCTTATAGATTTAAAAACAAACTTTTAAAACCAGAATTTTCAGTTCAGAGGATCAACACGACGTTTTAAATCTATACTTAGTCTTTTCTATTCTTGTTCATTTATACCTCAAACAACTGGTTTATTGTGTGTTTGTGTCTTTGAATGAACATAAATCTGCAGCAGCTGATAAGAAGCTGAACTTCATTATCTCTTATCTAAATGCAAGCTGCTGTGAAACTGTTCAACGGGCCTGTAAGTCGTGAACGTTACGCCCACAGTGTTCTGAAACCGTGAAAAATGACCCATCCTGATGCCTTTAAATGCACTTGTTATCCAACTGCAGGATAAAAAATTCGATATTCTGTTTATTCACGTAAAAGCAGCAAACGTTTGACTTTTAAATGTAGAAAACCTCATTTCATTCATTGCAGCTGTATTTTAAGGAGCCACAGTGAATAAAATCTCACATTTTCACACCTTAAAACCTCAAATCTGCAGGAAAAGTGATTTTTTTTTCTTCTTTCTGGGCGATATAAATGTGAAGGTGTCAGCGATTGTGTAATTGGTTAAATCAGTTTACTGCTTCGTTATCAGAGTGTTTCCACGTCATGGTTCAGCTCAGACTCACTCACTGTCCTGTTTCACAGCTTTATGGTTCATTTTCTGCACCGACTTTAATCCACACGGTTCAGAGTTCAGGCCTCCAGTCAGCACTTTGGATTTTATGGCCAAAAAATACGAATGAAAATTTCCACTTTTTGCCATTTTGCATTATATTTTATATTAATGATAAAAATGTTTCTCTGTTATTTCTCATCAGGACAGTAAATCAATCATCTGTGATTCTGGGTGAGATGAAACATGAAACAGTCTCTGAACCACATGTAGGTCACAATAAAACAAAAATAAACATACAGAATACTTTATTATGAAACACTGGGTCACAAAAACAGGAAGTTTCATAACTGGTTGAGCAGCTTTTAAAAGGTT